GATGCTGCTTGGCCTGCTGTGTTCATCCAGCCCTGCACCTTGTTGTCCCAGTATGCACTATAGGCAGACCTCAGAAACTACGCTGAGATGAAATAAAATAAAATTAAAAGTTTATATTGATGAGTTCACTATTTAAATACAACTCTAATTGATGAAACCCATTCAATACATTTAAATTCCTTCAACTAAATCCCTTATAAAAGTAAGCATTTATATTCATAAACCCCCCCATCGACAGATAGAGTGATATGGCAAGTTCTGAATGTTGTTAATTGCAGACTTTTTTTTTAAAAACACAATTAAGGCCAGGAAATGTAATTAATGTGGTAGCTTGACTGTTCCAAGGAGAATTTAAATGCCTTGACAGCTTGATAATTCCAGTGTTTAAGCACCTTCAAGTCTTTTTCTAACAATCACAAGGGCACTTGACTTCTCTCAAAGAGCATCTTGTCTCTCACAAAGGAGTCTCTGCACTTATCCAAAAATGTACCTTATTTTTGCAAAAGGATACTTTACCTCCTCAAAGAACTCCTGTAAGTTTAGATTTCCTCCTGAAAATGAAAGTTGCATTTTGGAATCTCACTTGCGAAATCGGGCCTGACAGAAAGTAGCTGTACTCTTACATGCACAGTTGCCTTGATGAACACAGATGTGCAAACCACACCCTGACCCCATTCCTTGTCCAGTGAATGTAGTGCATTCAGGATTCAAGGGAAGGACTCTGGAATTCAGAACCACGTTGGGTAGGCCACAGATCGTCTCCATCATTGTGAAAACTCAAGTTTTAGAGTCACTTGGGTAGATGCTTCATTAAAATGACATTAATAATGCACAGCTATTGAAGAAAATTAAAGGTATGAAATAATTGGGAGATCTTGTACTCAACTTTTTTTTTGTATTTTGAGGCCTACTTAACATATAAAGCATCTTATTGGTCTGTTTCTGTTGTGTGATAGAGGGACAGTATAAGAAAGGTAAACTCTTGCACAGTTCCTGTATCTGTCTACAAATTCAGGCCTACTGGACCTTGACTGTCAAGAGGGTCAGATCTGTCACTGGAGTCTGTTGTCTTCCCCAATTACAACATTTTTTAGAATTGCTGTTATAAATATTACATTATAGTATTCAACTTAATACAAGGAGGCGACGGCCGAGTGGCATTATAACTGAACTGTTAATCCAGAGACCTAGGCTATGTTTTGGGGAGCCAGGATCGAATCCCACTACAGCAGATGGTGGAATTTGAATTCAATAAAAATCTGGAATTAAGTGTTTAACGATGATAATGAACCCATTGTCGATTATCAGGGAAAAACACACCTGGTTCACTAATGTCCTTTCGAGAAGGAAACTGCCATCCTTACCTGGTCTGGCCTACATGTGACTCCAGACCCATAGCAGTGTGGTTGACTCTTAACTACCCAATGGGCAATTAGGGATGGACAATAAATGCTGGCCTAGCCAACAATGCCCTCACCATGTGAATGAATAGAAAAATGTGTACTAGGTCATTTAATTAATCATGGAGGCTGAGAGTTTTCTGGATTGTACATTCCAGGAAAGAGCCATCCACAGGAAAAGAGGATTCTGAAGAGGAAATAAGTACAAAAGCAGGGAAGTGATGCCGATCCTTTTATAGCCTAACTAGAGCTTTATACTAAAGTATATTGACTAGTTCTGGCCAACACACTTTAGGAAGGATTTGAATGTCCTTGAGAGGGCCTTAGTTCCATGGTGAGAGATTTTAGGTATGTAGAGTGTAGAAGTTGGATTGTTCTCCTTGGAATAAAAGAGTTTCAGGAGAGATCGGATAGAGCTGTGCAAGATTATGACAGGTTACATAAAGTAACGAAAAGCTTTTTCCATTAGCTGATCAGGCAAGAACTAGGGGACACAGTTTTAAGATTTTAAGCAAGAGATAGAGTGGGAATGTGAAGAAGTACCTTTTTACACTACCAAAAGTACTGGCCTGGGACAAGCTGTCCACAGGAGATGAAGTGGAAAGACATTTTGGATGATGCTACAGTGAAATTGGATGTACAGTGCTATGGGTAGAGGGGAATGGATTATTAGAGTGACTGGATTGCTCTACAGAGAGCTAGCATGCAATTTCTATAATATCATGTAATGACTAGAACCAAGCTTTATATGGATTCTTGGATGACTTAAGGAGTAGTAGTGTGAGGTTGTGCCTCAAACAAAGTCTTTTGGGAAAAAAATCATTTGCGTTCACTTGCTTTTCTGTGTAGTCTTGTGGTGATAATTCTGTTTGGAAAATCCAAAGAGATGCTGTAGTTATCTGACCTTATTCTACATCTATAATAGACAGCGCTAATATGATGGCCCAGAATAGGGTATGACAACTTTGACAGTAAATTAAGTTTTTTTTATTGTATACTAAATGAAGCTTGTACATTGTTTTTATTAGATGCTTCTCCTGAGATGTTGGGTGCTTATCTTGGAGCAAATGCCGTAAATGGAGACTTGGGCAGTCCATCTGATGATGAAGATATGCCAGATCCATTAGTATCAGCAGTACATCCTGACCAGATGCAAGTTTTTGTGAATGGATCTATACAGAATGGAAGTGGGGCAGTGCACATTCCAAGTGCAACCCGTGAAACTGGGAGCATTGAGAGTAAATATCCAGTACATGGTGAAACTTCAGTAGCAAGGCCATCCCCAGCAAGACTTCCAACCTATCGCCAAGAATCACTGAATGATTATCTTGATACAGTTGATAATGAAAACACCAAGTCAAGTTTGGCAGAAGCCCACTTGCATCAAGTTGGAGCTTCTCCCAAACTGAGAAGCAGTTTTCCAACAGACACTAGATTGAATGCAATGCTTCATATAGATTCCGATGAAGAAGATCATGATGTCTCCCAAGAATTGCCTTGTGGGTTCGAGTTATCAAGAGAAAGTGAAGAAAATGGCATACAATTTAAATGTCCTTCTGATGAAATTGGTGATGAAGACCTGGTGAGTCAGCAAAACAGAAATGGTGGCCAACTTCATTTGAGAGAGTCTTCCGACTCCCAGATAAATCTAATAGAAACTCGAGAGGTAACCTCAGATACGGCACATGAACAGTTATCAGACTCTCACTATGACAATCTTCATCAGTTGCTATGCAGCCTTTCTTCAGTAGCACAGGTTGGAGAGGAAGAAGGAGATCAGGACAGCCACGAATTACAGGGGAATGATAATATTGTAAGCAGTGCCTGCCAAGAAAATGAACCAATTCCAGAAGCTTCCAGGACGATTGTTGGTCAAGCAGCTGATGCTGAAGTCAGTGCAGAGAGATTGCTCACCCAAACGGAATCAGTGGATCAAGCATCAGAACGATCCCAACTGTCTTCAGAGAATGAACAAAGTGACACAACCCGTACGGAGAGTGTTAGTGAGGCCAGCACTAGGCCCGAGGGGGAGAGCGATGCGGAAGGTGCTGACAGCTCGTGCAATGGAAGTGGCAACACGACAAGGGTGTCTTCATCTGTAGAAAGCACCACACGATTTTCCTCTTTTGAAAGTGCCAGGTTCTCAGAAACTCCGGCATTCTCTTCGCAGGATGAGGAAGATGGTGTCTGTCCAACCGATACAGTGGCTGATGTTCGTGCAAAAACCCAAGATTCGGAAGGTATTACAGATGTTCCAGTGAGTGAAGAAACTGAAAGTACCAGTGAGGTACAGCAGCAGGAGCCCGCATCCGAAACAGAAGAAATTTGGCAGAGGAGAAGGAGTCTGCAGGCAACAGCTGGTGATCTAACACAGGAAGAAGATACTAGGTCTGCTCAAGCAACTCCAGTGGAGACAAGTGAAGCAATAGCAGGGACTGAAGGTGATAATCCAGGTAAGTTTAAAAGAAAACTTTAATGTCATACAGTTGCATTCCTAACATTCCTATAATTTGAAGCAAGTTATTCAATTAGCAAAGTAGAAAAAATTAAGTAGCATGTCAAGAAAAAGCAAATACAATGAACTACTCTAGACAAAAATATTATTCTACTTGTATCCTTAACTTGAATGTATAGAAAAGAAACGAAGGAGAACCTATGTGGACACTTTGCATTGGAAACTATTCAGGAGCGTGGCAGCTTAATATGTATTAAAATATTGATTAATTTCATAAAAGTCACTTTTTTCTGTTCCAAATTGCATTATGAAACATTTTTATGATTTTAAAACATTTTTGGCCAGATTGCTCATCAAGTTCCCACCAGCCTTTGAGATCCTTACCCTCAGTGCGGCAGGACGTTACCCGTTATCAGCGTATTGACGAACCACTACCACCAAGTAAGTCTATCAAATTTGCTCATAATAGATACTTTACAAGTCTTCCCCCTAAAAATTCTCCTCATTGTCCATGTTAAATTTGGAAGATTTGTGGAAATTTTGGAGATGTGCCAGAAGCAGGTCTTTGTGGTGATTGGAACCAGGTGGATCCTATTGACTGAGATCCTTGATTGGGGTCGTTAACCTGGGCCAATAAGGGAGCTCTGGCTGACAGATATAAGCAGGGGATTCAGAGTCACCTCACTTCAGGGACTGACTACAATGTAGGTATTTTGGTGGTGATGAGGGTGGGATTAATGATGTAACCATGCAAAAGCACCTACTAGCTGAAGGCCACCTGGACTTCAAACAGGTACTACAACTGGCTCTGTCTTTAGAAAATGAGGCAAGTGGAGCATTGGAGCTACAGGGCATCCCAATGAAAGTGGACACCCTCACCTGTCTGACTGAGATTGGGGAACGCCACTTGAATGTAAGCAATTGCAGAGCTTCAGACAGGGCATACCCTGAGCGGACAGAACCGAGACCAGCCCACAGCACAACCCCACAACAAAACTGAGCCTCAGCCAAATGGCTAAGAAGTTCTTCAGGATCTGGGCTGGCAAGCCATTGTAATTGCAGCCATTATGTAGGCCTGAGACAGCAAAGGACTCCTACAGGCCTGACTTGAGTAAGAAAATGCATAGGCCAGTATCCAGGAGAGTGCACACCCTGCAAAGTACACCTGCATGTGGGTTGGAACAAATAAATTGCTTAGCAACATCTAAATCAGACCCAGTTAAAAATAATGTTTGGTTAAATTGTCACCTGGTTCTCATGGAGGTCATTACTGGTGCAGCTGTGTCAGTGGTTGCAGAACCTGTCTTTAACAAGATTTGCTTGGGACTGCAATCCTTTAGTTTGCACAGAACCTCAGCCAGACTGAGAACATACACTGGGAACCCGTTGCAGATAAGGGTATGACATTAGTTCCAGTCTCGTATGAGAAGCAGTTGGTGCATTTACCACTGATGGTAGTGAAAGGCTCAGGCCAAAGCCTATTGGGTGGAATTGGTTGAGAAAGATTCATCTGGATGCTCAACATTTTTTGATTACAAAATAGCTTCTTCAGTGAAGTCCATGTGAAAAACCCTGGAGTATTTCAGGAAAGGCCTGGGACTATCAAAGGGGCCAAGTCGACGTTACCTGTTGACCAGGAAGCAATTCTATGATTTTTGCAAGGCCCATCCGGTGTCATTCATTTTGCTGGCAAAAGTAGAGGTGGAAATCAGGAGGCTGGAAAATGAAGGAATCATCAAACCAGTGCAGTTTTAGAATGGGCAGCACAGGTCATAGCGATTGTGAAACCTGATATTCCCCGTCCTTGTCGGGGGGAAGGTGAAATGGCAGCAGGAACGCTAATGGCGGCCGCATACCGTGTCTAAGCAAGAGAGACAATTTACTTCGGGGGGTGAAGTTTGGTGCTGAAACCACAGAAATGGCCCTGTATGGGTACAAGGCGAGGCTGATGTGAAGTCAAATCCCTTTTGGGTAGGTGATACAGTACATGTGGCTCACCTGAAAACTGCTACCTCGCAAATGGGGCAGGAGCAAAACATTCCTGGTTCCCCGAGAACAGCCAGAGGGTCTGTCAGAAACCATAGGTTCTCCCCCTCCGTCTAGTGTCGAGCAGACCTCAGAGTCTGAGATGGATGCAGCCTCGATACCATTACCACCAGAAGAAGAGGAGGACACAAGAGACAGGCTATGGTCAGATACCAGCTGCCCGTGTCCGAGTCTGAGTCCGAAGATCCGGACCTGTGGTGAAAATGACCAGGAGAAACTACAAGAGAAAGACTAGGCCTACGTTCCTGGACTTGGGGATGTGGGGGATGTTGTGATTGGAACCAGGTGGATCTTATTGACAATGAGATCCTTGATTGGGGTTATTAACCTTGGCCAGTTAGGGAGCCCGAGCTGACAGATATAAACAGGAGATTCAGAGTCCCTTGATTTCAGGGACTGACTCTGAGCTGGCTGGTCACAGTGCAGTTATTTCAGTTTTCCACAGAAATTATTCCCCACATGATTTGGGAATATGTGGAAATTCTACCCTTCTATTTGTTTTGACAAGCCATGTACCCTTTACGTAAAAATGTCTCTCTACTCTCAGTTACAGCATTTATGGAGTTTAGTTGGGCTTACCCTCTTCATTGTAAAAGTAGAAAATTACACAACTTTACCAATTCTGCCTGTTATTTTGAAGCTACTGTTCTGTGTTAATTGATAACGGTGGGTTATAGTTGAATGGATCACTGACAGTCAGGGTCCATTATGTTAGAAACACCTTGAGATCTTTTTTACTGTGTTCAAAGTGCTGTATGAATGCAAATTGTTGATTGTAGTTTGTTGAATGAGTATGTGAATGAAATATAAGATCAGGTAATCTCTTGAACCATATCCTAGCATGGAATTCCATTACTTAGAAAAAAAAGTGCGATAGAAAGTTGATGGGAAGATATCTCTGGAATAATGCCCTTGTTAAATTGCAATTACAATTGCAATTGTTTTTGATGTTCTCATGAAGTCACAGAAGAGGAATTGATTTTTATTTGTTAAAAATGCTGCATATTAAGATAGGCACTGTTTCCACCTTAGTTAATTTGCTTCTCATTTCTAACTTTTGTAAACATGTTAATCTTGACTTCTCAAGAGGTCACCATTTTACTACCACAACATAATGGGTTGCAAGGGGTGTGGTGGAACTATGGATGTTGGGTCAATATTTTACAAAACAAATGTGTGACCAAGACATGAAGCTCAACATTGAATTCTTCCTGCTTGTTAGCATTTTCAAAACTTTGGTAAGTTATGAATTGAGTTTCCTTCTGAAGCCTCCTTTCATGTGACACTTCCCTCATATGGGACAGTTTGTTTGTCACTGGCCCTCAAATTTTCTTGCTATTCTAGTTGGGGAGTACCTAAGTTCTTAATGCAGCACCATCAATGATCAGGTCAATTTGGTCTCAAAGCCCCTCTCAGTCCTGGCTCATGATTCCCTTCAAAACAGGCTCAATATAAAATGATATTCTTAGTCAAGATATTTATCAAGAACCTGGCTGAGCACATCACTGCAATGTTGAAACAAAGGTTTGGTTATGGAGGCAAATAAGGGGGCAGTGGCCAAAGGGGGGATTGTAAGATTTTCAAGAAGATTTATATAAAACATACTGCATAAGGAGGTAGAATCTTTCTCGTGTATCGTTCAGAATTCTAGTGGGGTAGAGTGGAAACCAGTCATGCGACATCAGAGAGTATATATTGAGGTGAAAACAGATCGCAGATGCATTTGACTATGTGTTGAAGTAAAATTAGCTGATGTTCTGAATATATGATAGTCTTCCCTAGGGACCATTATAAATCTTTCAACCATTTTGTAGGAAGGCCAGGTTTTGCAACATTCTAGTGACTTCACAAAATATTTTAGAAATGTACAGATGGTGCCTAAAGAGTGGCAACTCCTACATTGATGGGGCTGGCGCAGGGGGCAGTGAGAGGGTGGGGGAGAGGTGGCGGTTCAGGTGTCACTGCTGAGCCAACTCAGGACTCATGGTGAAGGCAGAGGAATGAAAATAGATTCTCTTTCAGTTACATCTTTTTATTCTTAAACTATTCAAAACGGTGCCGAACATTGGTGACTGTTGAAGCTTTTCACTATAATTTGCTGTATTATTCACTGTGAAATGCAAGTGACAATAAATAAATCATCATTTAATCAGTTCTCTGAAAATGGCTGAGCTAAAACAAAACAAACTAGTACAGCAGCAATACAGTATTAATTTTATTTTCAAAAATATTATATTTTGCACCTTTGTTATCGTATAATTTAGTGTTATACACTCAAGTGTTTAAATTTGGCTGGCACAAGATAAAGTCTTCCAGTTAGTTTTAGCAGTATGTAATAACTTATGTGGCATATTCTGACTCCCTCAACTCTGCTTCTCGATTTATTTGATTTTTTTAAAAAAATACTGTAGATTGGGAAGCTCGGATTGATAGTCATGGTCGAATCTTTTACGTAGACCATGTGAACAGGACAACTACTTGGCAAAGACCCACAACCCCAGCCTGTCAACAAATTGTTCAACGTTCCAATTCAATCCAACAGATGGAGCAACTTAATCGAAGGTAAAGGAAAGCCATCTAAATCTAATTTAACTCAACTGTTGCTTATTGGTTAATCAGTGCAGTCTCTTCTGATAGCTGGATTGTCAGACTGTCAAACTAACCGTGAGGCAAAACAACTGGGTTCACTGTTGTTGATCTGGAAATAGTGACCAGTAACACGATATGATTTAAGTGAAATGCTGAACTGCAGCATCACAGTATGTGTGGGGACATAGAATGCTGGTATTATATGCAAGTAATGCACTGTCAAAGGCCACCTCACAGCAGCAATTTTTTAATTAAGAAAAATATGGTGCATAACATTTGAAATCAGTCAAACAATCTGGCAGTTCTAATTTATCGTGATTTTAGTCTAGGGATATCTCATTTCCACAGACTTAAACAATGCTCAACTTTATCTTCAAAACAAAGGATTGCATCGAGTTGCATACTTGCCTTTTCTCTCCAGCACTTCCTGCTTTTATTACAATAGCTGATATTGCTGTGATGGCTGTGAATGAGACAATAGTTGGTACAGTGTTGACATTGCTAACCACTAGCAATTCCATTTCTAAGTTGTAACTTGGCTGCAAATGGCAAAGGTCTGTGGCTGACTCTAGGCAGACATTGAGAAAGACTATGCAAATATCATCTAGCAATTCGGTTCGGGTGATTTTGTCCACTTTAATAACAACAGCCAAGAGACCATAAACAGCGTGTCTAAAATTTCATTTCATGAGGTTTTAAATGTACCGCTGTCTTCTCTCCTGCCTGACTTCTGTGCTTTTTTTCCCTCCACCCTTCTTGCTCCTTTTACTCTTGTTCTCTTATGCTCCTCTCTTCACTCTCTCATCTTTCTTTCTATGCCTTACTCCACGGCTTCCTTTCCTCTCTTCTTCTTCCTGTTCATTTTGTTCTCCCATTTAGAACAAAGAACAGTACAGCACAGCAACAGACCCTTCGGCCCACCAAGCCTGCACCATACACGACGCTTTTCTAAACTAAAAACCTTTTGCCTGTACGCAGTCCGTATCCCTCTATTCCCTGCCTATTCATATATCTGTCAAGATCTCTCTTAAACATTCGTATTGTATCTGCTCTACCACCTCCTCTGGCAGTGCATTCCAGGTACTTAGCACCCTCTATGTCTTAAAAAAAACTTGCCTCTCACATCTCCCTTAAACTTTCCCTTTTTACCTTAAACCTATGTCCCCTAGTAATTGACATTTCTACCCTGGGAAAAAGACTCCAAATATCCATGCTCTCGCTATACCTCTCATAATTTTGTTAACCTCTATCAGGTTGCCCCTCGACCTCTGATGTTCAAGGGAAAACAAACCAAGTTTTTCCGATCTCCCGTCATACATATGAAACCAAATAACATCCTGGTAAATCTTTTCTGTACCCTCTCCAAAGCCTCCCCATCCTTCTGGTAGTGTGGTGACTGGTATTTCTAACCCATTATCTGTGGGAGCACAGTCACTTTGGTGGGGGGAGGGGAAGCAATCTCCTGGATTGAGTAGCATCAGACTGATCCAGGTCAAAGCCACACACCAACAAGGTTAAAGGGTCGACAAACAGGAGGCTGAAAGAACACAGCAGGCCAGGCAGCATCTGCTGTTTTTTTTGCCTCTAATCAGGTCAAAGGGTCGGCTGAGACCTCTGCAGTTCCTGTTGAGATTAGAAGGCTTACATTGGAATTTGGCTGAGGTCGTGGTAGCAGTGTCTAAAATAGGCTGGATTAATGGGCCCTCTGGACCGATGCTAGTAGCAGGGACTGGACCAAGCTTTGACGTTTTAGGTGATGCATCTTTTATCTTTGGAGCAATTACTGTCAATGCCAAAATGGTGGTTGGTGCGTGTGGGGATGGGCCTGGTGACATCAGCAGCTGCTTAGGATTCAGGATTCCACATGCAGTGACATCAGCACCAGTGCATGCACAGACTGCTGTACCTTTTTTAGTTTTTTGAAGAGTCTACCAATCACCTGGATTGCCACAGCTGCTCCTTGCACTCCCTGCCAGCCGCTTATGCCAACTCGTTCCTGCGAGGGTGAGGAAAAGGCTGCTCAGGACAATTAGAAGCATCGATTAGCCAAGATCCCAGTGAGTTTAATGACTGTGATTCTATTGGTTGCGCCATATTTGTGACGGGCAGCTGCTGCTGTTCAGTGTCTGGGTCGTGACATCTCACTGCAGCAATGTGTACCCAATTGTATGTGCTCATTGCTCTACCTGTTGGTTGGTGTTCACAATAATCACAGTCTTTTTATTTATAAGCAATTCTCTTTGTGGATCTTTTGTGGATAGAATCATTATGTAAGTGGCTAAAACAGTGTATCCAGTTGTGGACCAGTCTGTGTTAATTACTCTCTGCAAACTGGGGACAATTTTCACACATTTTAGCAACAAATGGGGTCACTTTAGATGCACTATTCTATCAAAAGCATGTTGTGAAACTTTGCTGCTGAGATATTAATCTACACAAACGACTGTTTAACAAATAGATTAGATAGCCTCTTTGCTGTCTACTAGATGTGCTTTTTTTTTGCATTGATTTGAGCTAACTTGGCAGAGACTGGCATCGGGCTGCTGTTTAGAATGGTAAGTTTGATTGATGTTAAATGCACAGTACTGCAGACACTGGAGACCTGAAATAAAAACCAAAGTGCTGGAGAAACTCAACAGGTCCGGCAGTATCTGTGAAGAGAGAAACAAATTAATATTTTGAGTTCAATATAACTTCCGCTTTGATTATTAGTTTTGTGCGATATCTTTGAGAAGTGGGAGCATTCATTTTATGAGGACTCTATGGGGCCCCTTTGGTCAGCCACTGGTGTTTCCATTCTGTGACTGATAAACTAAGCATGATTCAGGTTTCATACCAGTTTCTCACACACAATGAGAGCGTGGCTTGCTTCAAAGTATGAAATGAGCTTATATTTAGAAGTCTATGCTTGAGAGAAAATATGTTACATGTTTAGCTTGTGCATTGAGGCCAGAAAACTGTATGGGTTCCTGTTGCTGTGTGTCATCTGTCTTGTGTAAATTAAACAATTTGTTAGCTCGGAATCTTAGTCCCTGCCTGGTAAGGATAAGTCTTCAGCCCACAGTTTGGAAATGAATCATGTGGTGGCGTATAATAAATTCTAGCAGCCAGATATATAGGAAAGGTTATCCACTATGAAAGGCATTATAAAGTCTCGGTTGTATTTGCTTGCATGTTGCATAGATAAAGGTAGTCATGGAATTCTAGGGAACACAAGCTCAGCTTATAGTAATGCTGAATTTAATACTTAGAAGAAACCATTCAGGATAAAAGGCTGAAATTTTGGAAACGAACCAAACAGCCTGGTTTCTATTGAGGGAATGGGCTTTCTGTATTATGTCTAACTAAAACCAATAAGGAAGAACTCAGCCAATGATTCAATCTGCATCCTGGCACTAATATAATTCAAATTCATGGTTTGTTTTTGGAAAATTATTTACTGAGTCTGTTGGCTGTGACTCGGTCATGGTACACCATTTTTTTTTTTTTTAGCTCCTTACCATGAGATACTCTTGATAGGATTTTTAAAATTGTATTTGTATGAAGGAATCAAAATAAATCTGACCTTTTTCCAAAAATATTTGCATGCTTTTAGTTTCTGGCAGCCCCAAGGGTGAGTTGATGGCAGGGGTACATGGGTTGGGTAGAGACCATTGGGAGGTGGGGCAAAGGAGTGTTAAGGAGGCAGAAGTTGTGTGCCATGCCATGGGTACTGGACCTACTGCCTGCCCCTACTCCCCTCCTGTCAATGCCACAGTTTACCAGCAGCTGGAAAGATGTGGGAAGCCTGTCCGTCCAACAATTGGCCCCATAAGGACACTCAAGCTACCACCATTGAAACTTGATCAGTGACAGGAGAGGCTGCTGGCAAGAGTCCAAGAAGCACCTTACATTGTTTGTGGTGATGTAGGGAGGACTGCTTAACATTCCCCTGTCTACCACCTTCCAACGTACTCTACCCAGCCCATCACTCCTGTGTCCTCCATCTCTCTGATCTCCTTCCCTCCCCAGACCTGTTTACCTAAGCTCCCATTCCTGGGCTTTCCCAGTCAGGCAGTTCTGAAACTGTTCCCTTCCCCACCCACTGACCTCTAACCCTGGCTCCATGGCCCGTTACCTTGGGAACTGAAAACTATTCCTAAGCCAGTCTAGAATCGGACTTACTCCCCTGTGTAGCAATCCATCCAAGTGGGAATAAACTCACCCTTGACTTATTCACCAGGGGAGTGAGATCCCAGTGTAGCAATAAATCCAGGCCTGTATTTATCATCTGTGTTTTGAGTTGTGAGTAAGTCCCTTGGTGCCATATGCAGCTTTTACAAATATACCCAAATTTTACTTTGTTACTGCAATTAGAGTTTGGGATTTATGCTTCTTTAAAGTCATTTTTAATCAACCTGCTCAGACATGTTATGATACTCCTGTGCGGTAGATAGAACTTGAACCTGGATATCCTTGTCCAGCGGTAGGGGCACTACCACTTCAACACAAGGACACCAGGGAGATTTCTGGCTATATGGTTACAACTTGGTCATTGTCCCTCCATCTCTATCCAATCCTTCTGTTCCACTTTCTGTATTGAATTCACCCAATCTACTTCACTGTCTTTTCTCATCATTGAGTGTTTTAATTCTCATTCCTTAAATCTGATCTTTCATGTGGTTCAGTTTAATGGGGGGGGAAAAGTCAGGCTGCCAACTTAAGGAGCAGGTGTCCAAATATCATCATGATATAAAGACTACAAAAAACTTTGTTTTTTTTTTGCTTCAGGTATCAGAGTATTCGTCGAACAATGACCAACGAGAGGTCGGAGGATTCTGGCCAAGCCAGTAGCATTGAAACTGGAGCAGGAGATGAAAGTCACTTTCCTCATTTTAGTACAGGTAAAATCCATTGATGCATGCTTGGTTTAAAACATAATAATGGATAAAGAATGTGATAATGTGGAATCAAATAAGGGCTGACCGTGTTTAACCAATTATTTTTTAAAAAATCAATATTTTTAGTGCTAACAAAGGAATAGTCGTAACCCATTTACCACAATGGGGCAGGATTTGCTGAAAGAATGGCAGTATATACCACATGTTGCATGGTACATTTCACTGATGTGCTATTGGCTTTGTAAAAATGCCACCTTGTTCATATTGTTGCCATGAGTTTTATGAATTTGTTGCATTTGAATATGAATTGTCCTAAAAGCTTGCTTCAAGTCTCTCAATTAGCAGTACACAATGCTGATTGTAAATGACTGTCAATCAACCTAATGCCCCAGAAAGTGAACAATTAAAACCACGCAGTCTTGATTTCTTAAAGTAAATAATTCTTGTTGGAGATTCAATTTTTTTCTTTCATCTGTCAGTCTCTCCATTTCTATCCAACCCTTCTAACCCTCTTTTCTCTCTGCAATGAATTGGATATTAAATTCACCTACTCTTTTTCACTCTCTTGTTTTCTTGTCCTTAAATCTGATTCACTAGTTAAAGGGATCCACAGTTGGTTTTATTGGTTACCAGGGCCCCAGATGCTCTGAAAAGATGTCAGTAACCGGACACGCTCAAGATAACCTGTTCTAATGAATTCCAGCCCATTGACTGAACCTTTAAATCTAATCATTTTTGTCATGAAATCTTCAGATATCACTATTACAGGTTAATAGCAACAGCACACTATAGTTAGGCAATGCAGGATGATGGGAATGTTTTTCTTTTGTGGATTAATAATTCCTGTTGAGTGAAATTTGGCAGCCTTTTTGTGGATTGAGGGGTGGTCCCTCATGTCAGGTATCCGGTACCCAATGGAAGCTCCCCCCCCCGACCCAAGGGCGTTCCTTCCCAGTTACTCACCCAAAGTTTCCCCACCACTTGCTCTTATGAACGCACCCTCACCCGATCATCGGAGCCTCACTTAGCCCAGTGATGCCCAGGACTTACCTTTAAGTCTAGATCCATGGCATTCCTCCTTCAGGGAGTGCTGTAGTCCCAGCAGTGACTACTGTTCCTGGTGAAGCTGCTGGGATTGGAAAATCACTGACCATTTGACCGACTGTCTGTTCTTGCCAAAAGTCACTGCTTGAACCAATTAGTGGTCTGATGACCAGGGTGGCTTGGTTGCTTTGGAGATAAGAGGGACCTAAGTCAAGTGGCTTGTTGAGCTGTGATGAAGTTCTCACATCAGGCCACAAAGGCAAGGGCAACTGTATTAACAGTGAATAAATTTTCACACTCCAGTTTCCTGACCTGTAGTCCCTGCTTTTCTCTCCATTCTTGAATAGTATTTCTCTTGTCCTTCTCTTCTGTATTAAATTCCAAAAGGTGTTAAATCATTCACCATGCTGGCTGAGGGAGGAGAGGGTTGAAGCCATCTTGGTGAGATCTAACAACAGAGCATAGGGTGGTAGAAATGAAGGATTTCATAAGAAAAGAGAAAACAGGTTGTGTGATGCTTGATGGAGAAGTAGAGGAAGAAACCATGTTGTGACTTGGTTACAATGGCCCCACAATAGTCTGGGAAGGTTGGCTGGTGCAGTGAGCTGGGAATGATATTTAGGAACCAGTTGTTATCATTTTGCATCAAGTTTTTGTCAAAGTTGTGTGACGTGATCGCAATCATCTTGCAGATTTACAAATGATGCTGTGCATGTTCTGAAGTGAATCGGTATTCTGGAGAGAGATGCAGAGAGTGTCATGAATTTGCTCAATGAGTCCGGGGGAAAGCAATGTTCGGAATCAGTATAGAATCCCTATAGTATGGACAGAGGCCATTTGGTGCATTGGGTCTGCACTGATCCTGTAAAGAGCATCCATCCAGACCTAGGCCCCCTACCATATCCTGTAACCCCACATCTATCAAGGCTAACTCACCTAGCCTACAAATTCCCGAACACGACAAACATCTCAGCATGAGCAATCCACCTAACCTGCACATCTTTGGTTAGGAAGTTGGATAGGGAGGTTGGCAGATTAGCACCCAGTTGTCTGCTGGCTGGGGAAATTAGTGGGAGACAAGGATGGGTAAATTGTGGTACTTACTTCTATTGAGACAGTATCATGTGCCTTGATGAGCTGTTGGAAACTGGACAGGTAGCTTTTGAGCTTGTCAGAAGGGAGCCAATCCTGGGATGACAGCAAAAGAGCAATGAGTAATTCGGAGAGAGTTTAGGATTGAATCAGTGCCTATTCTGTTATATTATCCCAGAGAGACTGTCACCATCTGCAGTTACATCGCTGTTAAACCCTTCGCTGTCCTCGTCCAAAGGCCATTTTCAACTGTGGATATTGGGTAGTAATCAAGTTCTCCCTGTCTTAACCTGTGGTATTGAGGATACTTGTGCTTCTGTAGTTACCTTGCCAGAGACCACCAGACTTTGTACAGATGGAAGATTGAATCTGGGGTCCTTCTAGTCTGTATCGGTTCAGCTTCGCATTTGCATGAGGCAGCAAAAAGTTCAATCTAGTTTTAATTCGGACCAATAATTATTATTGTTCCAGCACAAATGGTGGATTGTAAGTGTCCTCTTTGATCTTATAGACTTTGCACAATCTCAACCCAGTTCTTTCTGGGTGTGAGCCAACAGAAAAAAATGCTCATTATTTGACACTATGACTTTCAGTCTTATTTGGAGAAGTAATCTGGTGTGGGAACATTTAGCTAGTCCTGTGAATGGCATGAGATGTTTCGATGTTCACACAACAGAGCCAGGTTTATGAATACATAATCCTAACTGGCTGCCATAGGCATTGGAAACAAGTTTATAAAATCACAGCTTCAGAAATTGTAGGAAATGTTTGACTTCCCAGCATCAATGTTCCTCCCCTTGAAGAATATAAAACAACTCCAAAAATCTAGCAAAAATTAAATTTGAAGCACCAAATCTTAAGGATATTATCATACCCTTGGTTAACTGAGAATGACTCATCATTTTAGATTACCGTTATGTTACGCTATCTTTATTGAATCATGAAAACAGAAACCATTTTCCATTAATTTCTGTCTGCATTAACCAAAGTGTAATCAAACACGAGAGTAGTGTACTTTCTTAAGTATTTGGAATATTTTGCATTACCCCCAGCTGTTCAATGAATATTTATGGGATATTGCTGTTTAAAAAGTGTAACAGTATAAAAACAGCTGTGTATTGTGTGATCATCACCTGATGAAATGAGATTCTGTTTCATTTTGGCTGCAGAGTTACGTACAATGGAGTTGAAAAGGTTTTGACTTTCCCTTTATCACAGCAGATTTCAGAAGAGAGCCCACACTCTCTCATTCTGCCTCCCGCTCCCGGATGAATCTACTGCTGCAGTCTCCTCCTGTCAAATTCTTCACCAGTCCAGAATTCTTCACAGTGCTACATTCAAACCCTGTAAGCTGGTTATTCTATTTTATTTGGAAATGCTGATTATTTAGAGTGTTGATTTCAGCTGCATTCTGATATTGGCAAACTTTCTTTTAAATGCACCTGCGATCTCAGCAGGGAGTTGAGTGTGGTTGGCGGGGCTAAGTGTCCATAGCATCTGTATAGATGACATGGTGTTAAGCTGCTCCTTTGTATTAATCAGAGCACCCAAACATCCAGCAAAGTGACAGATAAGGCAGAATTGCCCAGGTGCATTGAGGAGGTGGCCTGTGGGTCTGCTATGTAGGAAAGTGTTCTGATGACCTCACAACAGTTTCAGATTTTGCAAGAGACATAAGACATAGTGTGATGAAAGGTCACCTCGAGCCTACCAAAAGGTAATTCAGCCAATTAGGATGACAGCAGAATGCCATTTTATGTCCTTGTATGAATGTCACAGAGTCCATGGGAACCGCTGAGTGTCAGAGTCCCATCAGGTAAATGAAGGCAGCAAAGAGGTGGAAGGTAAATTCCGGCTTCACATGGGGGCTGTTGGGAAGCAAGGTGCCTTGTCCAAAAGCAGAGGAGCCACAGGCATGGTATGTTATTTTTTTTCGGGGGTGATTGTGTATGTATGTGTATTGGTGGAGTGCCAGGTATTTGGGTGGATGCCAGAGTGCCATCTGGCAATTTGTGCTTGTATGCCCCTAAGGGGAAGGAGAAGCTGTGGGAATGGCTGTTTGGAGGAAGCAGCTGGGTGAGTGACCTCAGGTGACTCAGCATGTTCATCTCCCATTGGCATTGTTCACTCAAAAGGGGAGTCCTCTGAGATTGAGCAGCTAATACGGAAAGAGCAAATGGACTTCCCTGCATCTCTTTCTTTCCAGGGACCTATTGGTTACATGTGTGGGATCTCCCAATCTATGGCACATTGTTATTCAAAATGGTAATTGTCCTCCACTTTAGGAGACCCAGCCAATACATCCATATTGCATTAATCCAAAACAGTCAATCTGAAAGAAACACAGGTTTTGAGGCCATTGTTCAATTCCTACTGGTACAAAGTATGATTAATTGAATGCAAGTGGCCATCAAAACTCCCAGAGGTCCGCAAATGGCTTCCATGAACAGAAAAGGCTTCCATTTCATCAAGGTCCAACTGGTTTGTGACCACAGGTCCTGCACATACTGTGCTTAGTATCCTGGAAACAGCTGGGCATCTTTTAAGTCGGGAATGCGTAGATATCAAAGAATTTCTGACTCTTATTTTGGGGAGCTGGTGGTAAAGTGTTGGCATCACTGGACCAGTAATCCAGACCCAGGCTGAAGTTCTAGGGACATTAGTTTGAATCTGGTCTTGGCGGATGGCAAAATTTAATTCCAGATTTTTTATTGAATTTAAAAGCCCAATGACAACCATACCCATTCTAGATTGTTGTTTTAGAAAAAAACACGGGATTCACTATTGTCCTTTAAGGAGGGAAATCTGCCATCCTTACCAAGTCTGGACTACATGTGATTCCAGACCCGCAGCAATGTGATTGACTCTTAATTGCCTCTGGGCACTTTGGAATGGGCAATAAACGTTGCCCTAGCCAGCAACACCTGTAGCCTGTGAATGAGTAAAAACTAGGTGTAGGAGTCTCTTCTGTCATCAGAACTAATTAAAACACTGGTATCACTTGCAAAGCTGTGAGAGAACAGTGTGCGTATCAGAGGTACCCTGAGAGGAGTCCTCCGATGTGGAAGGAAACTGAGATTGTTAGTATTGTTGGAAGGTGCGGGGCAATGCTGTGATGCTGCTCCCTGTAATGTCCTCCTCCTCTTCCAGAGGTGTGTGATCGCCCCCATGTGGAGGCAACACTTTGTGCTTGTTGCTGGCTGTGTGGGCAACCAAATAAATCAAATGTTTGTACACTTCCAACCATGTGCCTTCAAAATCAGCTGGTTTGTAGATTTGGATGGTGTACTACGCAGGAGCACCATCCCTGTGTTCAACAAAGACTCCCTTGTTTCCCAGCCATGAGGCTGTCCACTCTAACGACAATGCTGAGATAACAAGGTGTGGAGCTGG